CAGCTTGTCACCCTTGATGATGTTGCAGCTTGCTGGGAGGAAGCACGCATGGGAAACCTCACATGCACTTTTGTTTCCCCTCAAGAAGCCTACCAGCACCAAGAGATCCCACCCCTGCTAGGTGCTGAGCTGTCAGCACACATTTAAACGCAGTCACTAACACCCTTCGCTTCGCCACTATCTCCCCTCAGGCTGTGCAGGGAAGGACAAGGACACCTGGACAACTCCACAGGTATTCTTAAGCAGTGAAGGGTTTGTTGCAACCACGGGCTTTTCCCACAGCTTAGCCAAGAGCAACATGAGCTTTGCCTCTTTGCAGCAACTGGGCTCTTGCTCCTGGCGCTCGTCCTTCACCCTGTACCTAAAAGGGGATCCCCAGAGACCCCCATCCCTAGCCAGGGTCAGTGCACCAACCACCCAGCCACACCATGTCTGGGTCATTCCAATGGCCAGGGCCAGCTGCTGGCTGCAGCACGTCCTGGTTTGCAGAGAACCAGTCCAGGATGGAAAGTACGCTGTCCCAGGAGTCCTGAATGTCATCGTAGTTACGCCACAGGTTGCAGACCTCTGCCAGGACGGTGTAGTTCACCTGGAGAGGAGCACAGGGTCAGGCAGGAGGGAGAAAAGATGGGGTCTGCAAGCTGGGGGAGAAGGGGCAGCCAGACTTGAGAGCTGCAGTGGCCAGGTGCTTGCAAGGCAGAGGGAACTGGAGAAGGGCAACATCATGTAATGAAGGAGGACAGAGTCATAGCCCAATATGACTGAGCACATCACAGTATAATAGGATGTCTGGCAAAAAACCCACAGAGATCATGGGGAAGTATGATCAGCTGCCAAGAATGAGGCCAGCTTGGTGTTGACTCAGAAGGTAGAAGAGGAACTAAATTAACATACTCAATTCTCAAGAAGCGTTACTAGGAGGAACATCCTATTTCAAGCACTTAAACCAGATAGGACCAGTCTCAGAAGAAAAAACTCTTGGGACCAACTCCATACCAGCCGAATGGGGTGCAGAGGGCCTTGTTTCCCCCAAAAAACCCCAAGTGTCCCCAGATGCCTGGCAGGGAAACCACATGCCCCCCGGGGACCTGCAGCCCCATCCTACCAGGGGCAGAGCAATAAGCAGGGTGTAGCAATCAGCTCCTGCAGCTCCAACAAGGACTCCCCAGGGCACAGGGGACATGAGAAACAGCCACCAGACAGGACAACCCTCACCTTGGGGGGGAGCCCCCCCTGATACGCTGGCCAGCTGCAGGAGTAGACGATGGGGCGACCTGTGGCGTTCAAGGCCTTTGCCATTTCTGGGTAGCCTTCAGGAGAGAAGATGACAAATGGTGAAGGAGACAGCGGGCTGCAGCCTCCATCCCAGCCCGCCCCATCAGGGGGACCCCAGGCCAGCCTGGCCTCCTGCCTTACACCAGCTCTAGGGCACCCAAACTCCCTCCTCTTTGCCCAAGAGCTTCAACAGGAGATGCAAGGGAAGAACTGAAGCTGGCCAAACATTTCAGCAGATGCCCAGCTGCCCTGACTGGAGCAGTGGAGGGGAGAAACACCAGCCAGCCGGGGAGCCTTTACCCTCTGCCTGCTCTTCTCTTGATGAGTAGCACCCATCCAGCTTCAGCATGTCCACACCCCACTCTGCAAAGGTCTGGGCATCCCGCTCCACGTAGTCCAGCGTGGTACCTGGGTAGCCCCCACAGGTGAGGATGCCCAGGTCACCATAAATGCCCAGCTTCAGGCCCCGGGCATGGACCTGCAAAGAGAGGACAGCTGCAAGGAGGGGACGAGAGGGTCCGAGGTACCTCCTGGGAACCAGGCAGCATGGGGACATGGAAACCCCCCGACCATCCCCAGCAGGCACTCACGTAGTCAGCCAGGGCCTTAATCCCCCTGGGAAACCTCTCGGGGTCAGGAACAAGCCGTCCCGCCGCGTCCCGCTGCTTGGCTGACCAGCAGTCATCGATGTTGATGTACTTGTAGCCCAGGTCCCTCCAGCCGTCCTCTGCCAGGCGCAGGGGGACAGCAGGCTGAGCCCCTGTGACCACCACACCCCACTGGCTGTGGGCAACCAGCAGGACTTCAGGGCTAACAAGGGCTCTGGAGGGTCTGTCACTGCATGGCTGGCCTGGGCCATACAGGAGGGTCCCCAAGGCTGCCATTTAAATCCTGCCCATGTTTTGTTCACTGATCTCAGCGAGAGGAAGCGTTTCCCCAACACCCCGCAAAGCCCGGCCACATCCCTCAGCGCTGGGGGCTCTCCAGCCCCAGCACGGGGGTGCCTGAGCCCCCCCACCTCCCTCGCACCCAATGCTCCCCGAGATCCCACTGCCGCAGGGCTCGTCGCAGGGACACAGGCGGTGCCAGAGCCCTCCCGGGCCCGATGTCCGACCCGACCACCCACCCTCCTCCGCCCTGACATCCCCCCGTCCACCCACCCGGGACAGACCCGTGACACTGGCGCGGCGTTTCCGAGCCGGGTCCCTCGGGCAGGGGACACGCAGGACAAGCCTTCCTTGCAGGGAGGGGGGGAAGGCGGGGCCCCCCTGTGTGTGAAGGGGGTGTGGGGGGGTGGGGTGGTGTCCCCCCACCGCTCCCC